TTTTACTCCAGGATAACTGAAACCCGTGAGAAGCCGTCGAATCTTACCTCCTCGAGAGCCATGGACAGGGCTCCGGAAATGGCAAGACCCTGACGATCCTTGAGGCCGCCTTTGATGGCCGTCAGGTAGCCGATGGTCAAGCTTCGCGGCTGGACCGAGGAGCTCGAGGTGTCGTTGCTTCCCCACCATAGGCTGCTCTTTTGAGAGACGCTGGAGACAGTGGGCACAACTTGTTGGCACTGGGTCGCTGGAGCCGCCAAAGCCGCTGGTGATTCCGGTGGCTCGATCTGACCCAGGACTACAGGGTTGCTGACCAGTAGCAGCAGCACCAGGAGGACACGCGAACCGTGGCTGTGCGGTTGTGGCAGCGGACGCGGTCGACGACGCTCCTGCTGCTGCTGCTGTCGGTTGCGCTTCCGATGAAGCTGCTGCTGGTGGTACGGATGCTGGCGACGGGGAGGCCTGCGGCGGCTCGGCTGGACTGGCGGGCCGGGGCGCATGGCCGCCGCCGCCACCGGTCAGCAGCGCCTCCCTCCCGCTCACCTGGAAAATCCAACAAGTACGTTTTTTCCATTGAGAAAATGCCAACGAGTGAGAAATTGGACGCATTGGACAATTGAAAATTAGTCATATCTTTAAACGAGATATTTAAGTGACTTAATAAAGAGGAAGCAACTGACTTGTCATTTGACCATCTAGATTATTTGTCAAAATTATTTATATCAAATTGTCAAAAATATATTTGTCAAAAATTTATATCAAACAATATATATTATAATAATCGGAATATGCTACACGTTTAGCAACGTTTAGCAATAAAGTTTGTTGTAATATATTAATAAAATGTCCATATGTGAATGTAAAAAAATATGAAATATTAGAATTAGCTGAGAATTATGATTTTGACAAAATTTGATAGCTGTAGTAAAAGATTTGTATATGTAGAAAATATATAAAAATTTTAACGCGCTTAAATAATTTAATATTCAGAAATCGTATCTGTAGATTTCAAAGCTGGAATATAGCCGCGTTCATCTCCGCGTGTATATTGAACGTGTATGTAATATAACGAATGTTACAATTTCCGTGGTCACAATCGCAGGCGCGAAACCGGCCGTGCTTGGTACTGCGGTTGTGACAATAAAACACGTCTTCCCGCTTGACTGCATTTATCGCGAGGCCGCATTTATTCGCGTGAATCATCGTGTGTGCTATCTGTGTACTTAGCTAATAATAGCCGATCCCTTTATAATAATATATCGCTACGATTCATATTGTATTGTACATTTTTCCAAGACACTTTTATGCTTTATTTCCTTTTTACTCGGCGCGTCCTTTTTACGCGGGCAATCTTCTATAAAGAAAATTTATATCGCGTAAACCGGATGTCGCGAGTCCCAAAGGAAACTTTATAGTCAGTGACAGTCATTGTTGCAGTAAGCGAATACGGTAGTCGCAAATATTGAGAATAAACGTATTGCGATCACGCGCGTAAAACGACTGTAACTTCCCTTCGCCACTGTCTCATAAATCAATCGAATTTATTTTCTTGTCCAACGGAGTCAGCGAACTAATGACACGCTCACGCTCGCTACTTATTGTTATTTTTATTATATGTGCGCTTAAGTAATTCTGTCAATTCGAGTTATGCATCATCGTATTTTTATATTCCGTCCCAAGGATGTAAAAGTTTTAAACAACTTTTGATTTATACAAAACACTCTAAGAAATCTTGCGTCGTTAATGCAAGGCAAATATTTACGGGAGTTATTCATGTCGGTACAAAATTTATATAGCGTGACCTAATTTCGGTAAGAATAATTCCGAGAGGAAAAATACAAGAAGAGTTATCTATGAATTCCAACATACAACATCTGCCGCAATGATAACCGATAAGGAAACATCTGTATGAATACGCATCGGCTCACTTTAGCGATGCGTCGCTGTAAAAGATGATCAGAAAATTCCGAGAGATCCAACACCGTCGAGCATAGTTGCATATTAAATTCGCCACGAAACGCGGCACAGTTGGAACACGTGGTTGCAAAAGGCGAGATGAGGAGAGAAAAAGAGAGGAGGGGGGGGGGAGACACCTGTTGCGATTACGTAAGCCCTTAGGTGAGTCGGGCTAACCTATAACGGCTTCGGCAACAATAAAGACGTCCGCTTGTCGTGACGCATGGTGTCATTCACCAAGGGAGGAAGCGCGCCTTTCGACTCGCCCAGTCGCCGTTCGCGCCGACTTCCGACTCGCGAAGGCATTAATTATTACGGCCGAGAGAGTCACGAAGCCCGGATTTATCTGACACCCGTCGTCCAGGTTGACAAAGGGGACGTTAAAGGGACGTATTCCCCTTCCGTCCCGTCCCGTCCCGTCCCGTCCCGACCCGTCCCGTCGACGCGCCATGCCACACCACGCCATTCCATACTTGACCCCTCGATGTGATCCACCGTTACGTCATCGCTCGTCCGTCATACCTGCGTATGGTGGGTCGTACATACATACATATCGCGCGGATGACATATGAGTGGGCGCGCATCTCTCGCCCGATGATTGCATTTCGTATCTCTCGCGCTTTCGCCACCGCCACCGCCACCACCCTCATACCGCTGCACCACAGAAAAAATGAGAATGCTTTATGCGAGAATTGAAAATGATTTGATTTTGCAGAGACTATTTCGTTCTGCTGTCTTTGAATTACTTTTTATTTGTGCGATTTGCAACAATCACGAAAAAAAAAATTAATTTTTTTACTTTTTTGCCCAAAAAGAGCAAATTGATATAACATGGTAAGTAAAATAAATATTTTATGTAAAAGAAGCAATATTGATACTCATTCATGTCAATGAAGAATTCTCGATAAAATGCAAATTTTTGCAAAGACAATATATTTTCGCTAATAAAAATAAATCTTACATGGTTACATTGGTCATTGAGTAATTTCGAAACAAAGATTGACAGTTCGATCATTAAATGTGTTATGTAATTATTCAGTTTACGAAAAACGATATGATAATTTATATTCATCAGATATCATCTTAATATCTATAATTAAAAATTTCCTTATTTTTATACATCTGCCTATAATTAAAAAAATTCAACTTATTATTCGTTCACGTTTCATTAAGATAATTCAAACAATGTAAATTTCATTAAGATTATTATAACGTAAATTGACGCAGATATAAAAAAAGATATTTTTATTTCAAGAAATTCCGAGAGCACGACTTAGGAGATTACACGATGGTATCTCGTGGTCAATCCGCACGAATGAAACGTGTTAACTTCCAGTTATTTGCTTAATATATCGTTGGTTAATATAATTAGGACGTTTAGCATCCGATTTACTATGCCGTCTCGTGACACGCGTTACGAAGAAAATCACTCGTCACGTACTCTCATAAGAATCCACTAAAACTATTTTATCCTCCCAAAAATTTCGAACTTTACGTTTCTTATCAACGTGATATTTCGTATACGAAATTCGTGCGTAATGGGAAAAAAAAAAAATCGTGAGACAGATATTACGACAGATACCGCGATGGACGAATATTTGCCGAGTTAATAAGCCATAAGGAGTTCTGTTAGTTCTGGAAGTCACGCGGGGAAGGAAAAGGATCTCTCGATCCGAGATCCACGAATGGCCGATTAAAGCAGGACGTGATTAACGTCCCCGTGATCGAGAGGACACGGCGTGTAAACGGTGTCACGCCTATGTTTGCGAGCGGGCAGAAAATCGTATATCTCGAAACGATCGCATCGACGAGGCACGTAGGCGGACTCGCATATACTCGATACTTTATCACGATAATGCCGGCAACTAATGCGGGGCACGCATATTACATTCTAAAAATAGCTCACGAAATATTATGCGGTCTTCGGGGCGTACGAGGCGTAAAGCGAACAGGCGCGTTGGGCGAAGGTCGCGCCTGTCCGCTTCTTCCGTTTGTCATCGTGTATCATCGTAATTCGCAAGATCGATTGATATTTTTCAGAAGATCCCTTATCGATGTTGCCTATTATTAAGTTTTAGGATTAGAGTATTTTAAATGTATTTTTGTCGAAATATCAGTCGTTTTTCTACCGCTTGCATGAGTAAGTCGCGTCGTAAATGAAATTTATGCAAGAGTCCTGTGGTATGTCGTGAGACTTTTTAACGCCTCTGCGTCGTAGCAATGAAGGTTTCACGATGAGCCGAGTCGTCGTGAAAAAGAAGTTTTCTATTAATAACGACACAAGTTAAACAGGTCTTTGACAAAAGACATAACTGATACGCGAGGCAAATATAAGCCGATAAAAGGCTAAGAATAGCTTTGTTTGCTGAGGCATACACATTATTTGCCGATGCTCCGTTACATTCGCTTGGCAGTTTGGGCTAAATTATTTCTGAATGATGAGGTAAGGCCACGTGCGTTTAGAAGTGTATAAGTTAAACACGAGTCACAAAGTTGCGAATGCTCGTACGTCCGAATTATTCGATAGCAAACACTTATCGCTGAAAATTTCATAAGACATAATTACTTTATCGTAATAACAAATATAATTATTCAGCAGGATTCAAACAAATTTATTACATTGTAAACATAAAATAAAACAAAATGAACAAAACATAAAAAGAAAATTTACATAATATTTACATGTGCATTAAAAGTATTCAAGCATGTAGAATTTTCTGATATAGAAAGTCTAAAAAATATTTTTATTATATCTTTCGCACTTGCGCATTGTCGAATATTTTATTTTTACTTGGATATTTTTGAATAAATATTGCTCAAACATTTTATATCGTGTTTCCATATAATCTTTTACTTACTACGCTCACTCGATTTTAATTCAAAGAAAAATCAGAGTTTTCTGATTACATATTTTGTACAAATTAATATTGTTGATTTTTAATTTAAGTCTCTTCTATCTGAATATTAAACATCTCAAAAAAATAAATTTTTTTGATAAAAAACTTCTTTTTCTATTTTCATATAGGCTTTTAGGGCCTGTTTTTATCTCATTCTCTGATAAAAAATGATAAAACAAATTTTTTTAAAAATGTTCTTTCTTTGAGACGAATAATCTCAAATATTTTTCGTATACTGCGATTACTTTATTTTTTCATAAACATTACGCTACTTTCTAACGCGGTATCTGCTTCCTCTGGGACAGAATCAACGCGGGAAGTCGAATTGTGGAGAGGCTGCGGCACGCGCCCGGCATGCGTTTACGCAATTCAGGGTCAACACTTGCGGTGCATATCGTTTAGATAAATAGTGATAAATTCGTTCTTTCTCTCTCCTCTCTGGAATCCTCTTCTGGATATATGCGTCCAGACATATACTAGAAAATGCTGATTCAATCTCGATATATATCGATAACGAAGCGGTCGGTTTATCTTGTAAATCTTTCTTGCTTGCTTGCAAGATTCGCAACAGAATAGAATATATGACATGAAAGGAAAAAAAGGACATTATCCTATACAAGTCGCGACGATGATGTATCGACAACTAATCCGAGAAAAAAAATTTTTTTTTGCCATTCGAGTCTCGAGTTA